CTTTATTTGTTACATGTAAATACACTGTCAGCACACGTGTCTTTACTTGTTACATGTACATAGACTGTTAACACATGTTTCATTACTTGTTACATGTACATATTGATTTACTACACAAACTTCGTTCATATTTGCATTTCTATTTGGTACATTTACACGGTTCATTTCCATTAGTCTTTGGGTCAGGTTAGTGTACCAGAAGTTCCAGGGTTCTCTCTGCAACACGAGCCCCTCTTTCAGCTGTGGGTGTATTGTAATAGTGACAGTCAAAGTTCTTGTAGCTACGAGTGTTGTCGACTAGCTGTCTTTTCTATGGTCAACAGCTTAACATTAAGGAAGACTATGCTTGAACTATAGGGGGCCTCTGACCTAGTTGCTTGGCCCCTGTGTACATAAAGTACGTTCAGGTTTGAAATATCAACATCAACAATAGAATAGTCCAAAATATTGATGTTTTTTATCTGTATTAAACAAGAATTTTACGTCCTTTGACTAGATTTGTAGGTAAAAAATAACGTCTATATACATCTATTTTTATTTGTAATGTATTCCTAATCTTACAAAATACTGCTTCATAGTGTTGTTATTCTATTAGAAGTAGGCAACGTTTGTGACAAATATCAGGCCTTTAGTCAAATAATAATAATAACGAAATTTTAACACGTCAACCAATCTTACCAATGTTCTAAGAGAAGATGTCGTATCCCTTCTCAGTGGAGGATATTCTTCTAATTCAAATGAAGAACGGACAAATACAATTTTGATTTGTGAAAAGCATTACAAAGTAATTGTCTTCAACTCACAGTATATTTGATACCATTATGCTTTCCAAGACGCAGTTTAAAGCGTGAGCTATTCTTTGAAGAGTCTTCTCAAATTTAGACGAAAATCCAGAAAGTTCTTTTTTATAACTACTGGTTATTTTTGTCTGGTCTCGTAAAATTGCGCCATTTTATTAACTTGATAAGCTAGAAGCACAATATCGATAAATTATGGTATATAAAAAATAGAAACTCCACATCAGAAATTCAACTTGCAAATCGAAAAGATCAAAGACACATCATTAAAAAGAACCGTCCAGCCTGTCTTTATAAAAAAAAAAGGGTCCACGAAGCATTAACAACGTTACTACAGGTTTAACTTCCATTTCGTCGAAGAATATTGGCAATCACACTAACCTCCCCCACAAAAAAAAAAAACTAATATTTTATTGCAGCCACTAAAAATGATGGATTTTAAAAATTGGAATTAAGGGTTTTATATTATTCTATGTTAAAGTTTATTTCATACACCTCGTGTATTATAATTTGCTTTCTACTCATAATACCCAGTATTAGTTAGTTTCCAGCAATTATTTTTCAAGGGTCTAAGTGGTCAGTTTTCAAAAGTAAATGGACTGAATGTACACTAGATGAATTTGTCTTTTGTTTAGTCGTTGGTCATCTGAAGGTTGTTGGATTAAAAAAACAAACACGACCCACACCGAATGTTCCTGTAATCATCTAAAAAACTTTGCCTTGATCATGGATATATCTTTGACAAAGGTGAGTACTTACGTATCTAACGCTCTACATACACGGGTATATTATAAACCATTCAAAATGTCTTTTGTATTTAACCTCGTTATCTGGTCAATTTACCCGGATTGTAAATCCCTTGAGTCATAATTCGTGTCCTGTTAACACGAAAACACGCTCCGTACTTTTGGGGTCCCAGTGGCACAGCGGTATGTCTGCGGACTTACAACGGTAGAATCCAGGTTTCGATATCCGTGGTGGTCAGAGCACAGATAGCCCATTGTGTAGCTTCGTGCTTAATTACAAACAAAACGTACTTTTGGACTGTGGTTATTTTATAAGAATGACGGTCAATTCTCACCATTCAGCCAGAAAAAAATAACCCAAGAGTTATGGGTGAGTGGTGTTGACTAGCTACTCTCTCTAGTCCATCACTGTTAAATTAGGAATAACTATTTAAAGGTAGCCCTTGTGTAGCTTTGAGTAAAAAAGTAACAACAACACATTTCCTTATCATTATTGTCATTTCAGCAGTCATTGGGTAGATAGTTACTGTAGTTATACAAAGGTTTGTTCACGAATTATTGAACAATATGCACATCCAATGACCTTGCTCCCACCCGTGACGTGTGTGATTCTGCTGTTGCAACTTTACTCTTACCCGTGACTTGTGTGGGATTCTACTGTTGCAACTTTACTCCTACCCGTGACTTGTGTGTGATTCTACTGTTGCAACTTTACTCCTACCCGTGACTTTGTGGGATTCTACTGTTGCAACTTTACTCTTACCCGTGACTTATGTGTGATTCTGCACAAGTCACGGGTAGGAGTAAAGTTGCAACAGCAGAATCACACACACAAGTCATTGGTAGGAGTAAAGTTGCAACAGCAGAATCACACACACAAGTCACGGGTAGGAGTAAAGTTGCAACAATGTGTGTGATTCTGCTGTTGCAACTTTACTCTTACCCGTGACTTATGTGTGATTCCGCTGTTGCAACTTTACTCCTACCCGTGACTTGTGTAGGATTCTACTGTTGCAACTTTACTCCTACCCGTGACTTATGTGTGATTCTGCTGTTGCATCCTTTACTCCGACCCGTGACTTGTGTGTGTGATTCTGCTGTTGCAACTTTACTCCTACCCGTGACTTGTGTGTGTGATTCTGCTGTTGCAACTTTACTCCTACCCGTGACTTATGTG